CCCTGTAGCAAATACATTTAAAAAAAAACTAAGACTCTGTACTGTGCCCGTACTTAGGGCCTAGTGATGTTCTTCTGCTCACTCTTCTCCTTTGTAATTGTGCTAGTATATGTATTCTCCAAAAGTGCTATGGGGGTTCCAAGAACAGCATTAGAGCCAGTGAGAGATAAAAGAAACTTGCATTTGCACATCCAAAGTTAACTTCTGTGTAGTTACACCAAGCCAGGCCACTTTCAAATTGCTTGTTGAAGCCTCACAGTGACCTTGTTCAGGGAGATGCTGAGTAAAGTCTACACTTCAAGGCACAAGAACTGTGTTGTAGTCACTAACCAAAGCTCAGAGGATGCATAATCTTGCTCAGAGACTCATTTTCCTATCTGTAAAATAGGTAGGAATTAGTACAGCTGACTTTCTGCAGGTGCCCAAATCCCTTCATCTTCCCAGGGAATCTCTCCAAAGCTGACGGCCACCACTGCCCTGGCATCACCACCGGCTCATGCATAACCAGCGCTTAGCCCGTTGCTGGCTCAGCAGCTGAATATTTGCATCACCTATGGATTCCCTACTGTGTATTTTATTTTCTTGGCTTTCAGTCACCTCTTCCTTTCTTGTTGAATGCTGAATATTACAAAGAAAAAGTGTAAAAAGAAAAAGTGTACAGACTCTGAATCGGGTTGTAACTTCCAAAGAGAAGGAAGACAGGCAGCGGGTGTGTGGACCTTTCCATCCTGTCGTGGCTTAGGGTTCAGTTTGGGTAGGTGCCTCTGATTTGGTGTTGCTCATCCCTCACCCACCTCACTATGTAGAGCCCTTTGCCTAAAGCACACTGTACTGGGTCTTAAGGGAACGTCCACCCCCAGTCCATCAGTCACAGCACCACCAAGTAGAGACACTATGGTCTCTGCACAGCCCTCTCAAGTTCAGCTGTTTTCTTCCAGGGTCCTCAAAGTCTCACTTAGCACTCTTAGAGTGTCCCAGATAGCTGAGAAATGTGTTCACCAGATTTGAGGCTCTTACTGTGTCATGATACACCTTTTGGAATGTGGAGTTCCTGCCACAGTGGAGACCCCACGCTAGCCTTCTACTTCCACTGCCCAGTAGAACTGGCCCCTCTTGCCTGGACTCTGTTTCTTCACAGGTATCTTGAGCAAAGATCTCAGACAGACATGGGGTGGACACAGAGCTCACCTTCAAAGCCCATTCTGCAGAAGGCCAGCACTAGGAGACCACGGACAGCTGGTGCTGGGAATGATACTCTTTAATCTGGTGCTTTAAAAACAAACAAATAACCAAAAAATAAATAATTTTTTCATAATATCAAAATTCCTCTGCCCAAAGAGGCAGGTTCTAAGGAAATCTACTTGGTTGGCAAAGGAGGTTATAACAGGTAAGGTTACAATTATCTTCAGCTCCAGGACCTAGAGGTCACAGCTTCTGGGCAGTGTGAGAAGAGTGAGAGGTCTGTGTGACCATATGTCCATATGTATGATGAACACCTAGATGTGAGCTCCAGCACAGCTGCTAGGTCTCTCTGGGTCCCTGTCTTCTCACCTGTGTGGCATGAGGGTGGAATAAAACCATACAGAGAGCAGCTGAGGAGTTCTAGGGAGAATGAGAGGTCGATGGCAGGGAATGAGCCTCCACAAATGAATGGCATCCCTCATCCTCTAAGGAGAAGCTCAGGAAGAAGCATCCTTCCTTTCCCATCATCTTCTGTGGGAGACAACGGGAGGCACCAGGGAGGGCATTCCAACCTGTGGCATTGCTCCTAAGCTGAGCTCATGTGCTACTTTTTCACAGACGTCTTTCTCTAGCAACCTGGCCTGAGCTCCCTCCCTGTACCCTTCCAGGACACCCACCTTCTTCCCAGAAGGCCCTGTTTCACATCATGCTCAAGAACAAGGCTACTTGATGACTGTGGGTCTGCAGGTGACTCTGCTAGCTTCAGGGGAGTAAGGACCCTTCCTGGCCTTTCTGCATTGGTCTCCAGTGCCCACAGCATCAGTCACTGAGTGCTTGATGACTTTAGCTCCTCTTTTTGTTGAGTAAAGGACAGTTGGGCCCATAATCTGCACTGTCACAGCCAAGCTCCCTGAACTAGCATCCTGCCTCTCTGTCCCTCTTCCCTCTGTTACCCCATGACTTAGAGTGGCCTCAGCAGTTGTGCTGTCCTTCCTGATGGTCTCAGCAGAGGTGGCTCTATTATACTTTACAAATGTCCTGTGTCCTGCCACCCTCTTGAGACTCTGGAACTTTGTGTCATTTTCTCCACCTGCTGCCTAAGGGAAGAGGAGGCTGAGGTTCAAGGAGATGAGGATGAGGAGGGGGCAACTGTAGAGCGTGGCTCTGAGTGCATTGTCTTTCTCTTCTCTCTGGCTCTGTGAGCTGCATGGGAGCCTTCTGTCCTGTGATCTTGTTCCCCTCATTGGCCAAGAGGCAAAGCAGGAGTAAACCCTGGTTCTGGGGACCCCAAAGCCCCTGCTCTTCACTGTACCTAACTTTGTATCACGTTTGTTCCAGATACATTGCTCACCCCTGGGCAAGGTCCCCTGACCCCAAACCTTCCCCCAAGTGTCAGGCATCAGGTTTTGAGCGTCTCCCTCCTTCACATCACTATGTCTTGAAGCCATGGTGTTGAGGAGGCATGACTGACAGAGTCCCCTCCCCTGTGCCGAGGTGGCCAAAGATCCAACGACAATGGGTTGATACCTCTCAATAGCACTTATTCTCTAATTTTCTTTAAAAAATGAATGAAAGAAAGAACAAAATTATAGCTGGTTATATAAGACCCAGAATCCTAAAAAAGTCCACTTGAAAATAGTCAGTGTTTTACAATCATCTCCAAAGACAGTCTGTGTGCTAAGAAAGGACTTCAAATGGGGGGCAGCCAATGCCCTGAATCTAGCTCTTGGTGTGACCTCTTATAGAAGGTGCACTGCCAAGATTGGGCCAAGGCTGTGGTGACATGTGCAAAGTGTGCTGTCCCTTCTCTTAGTGGAACCTTGCACATCTCCTGCAGTGTAGGGAGAACTTAGGGTCAGTGACAATCACCTTTGTGTCTGCTCAGGCCTTTTGCAAGGAGAAGCAGGGATAGAAAGCATGATTCCAGAGGATCTTGTATCTTGTAGGAGTGACTTTTGTTCTGCATTTGACTGAAAACTGGAGAGCTCAAAGAGAAGACAGGTGGCATGGTCTGACTTAGCTTTCTAATGCTTGCTAGGGTTGCTGTGTGGACAAGGGGGAGTGGTGGTGGATACAGCAGACAGGGAACCGGTTCAGACCCTTGGCAGTAATGCAGACCACATTGATGGCTACTGAGGAGGACTCTGGATGAGATTAGAATCAGGACACTTAAATTATTATTATTACTTTACCAATTTTGGAGGCTCATATCTGGTCATCTGAACAACTAATTTGAAGACAACAATATGCAATATCACAAACATTGAATTTCTATCATTTTGTTTAATGAAATTCTGTGCGGTTTCTAATTTTTTTTACTAGTTTTATTCTTTTTAAAAAAGAAAAAAGAGGGCTGGCCAAAGAGCTCAGCAGATTAAAGCTTCTGCTTAGGCAGATGCAGCGGCCAGTGTTCCATCCCCAGTGTGCCATGGCAGTCCTGCCCCTGGGGCATGCTGAAACTGTGATCAAGACTGAACGTGGTGGCATGCACCTGTAATTCCAGCTCTTGGGAGGCCGAACACAGGCCAATCATGACAAGTCTGATCTACACAGTGAGACCCTGTTGACCCTGTAAACCCTAACTAAAATACAAAAAAGAAAAAGAAAAGTTAATGAGAATTCCTGAAAGATAGCTGATGAGAGATAAGGAGGTGAGGGCAACTCCCAAGATTGGACCTGTGATGGCAAGGTGGACTGTGGTACCATCTCTTGAGGTGGTGAGAACAGATAATTAAACTTAATTCTCTGTAGCCTCCAAAATACAAGCTTCCATGATAACCTGATGCGTTGGGTTCAAATTCCTCTTTCTCCCTTCTTTAACTCATAACATGAGATCTTTTGGTTCATTTATCCATCCATCCAACCAACCATTCATCCAAGTATTCACTCATTCATTTATATCATTTCACACACATTCATTAGTACAAATGAGGATTGTTTAGATATGACCTCCCTTTTGATGATAATGACCTGGGTCACTGAAATATTAAATGGGAAATATGAAAGGAATTAAATATATGTGTAGAACATGTAGAACATATTGCAAATGAGAAAAACAAACCAATTACTAAGTCAAGGAGAAACAGAGACTCATAAGACTTGTAAGAAAAGATGCTTTATGGTCAAAGCTAACATGTCCCATGGGGACCAGATCCTCTCTCCACTCAGACCTTCTCACTGCACAGCCCAGAAGCCAGCCCATTCAGGCTGTGCCTGGCAATGGCACAATCCTCACCCATTCTGGTAAGGATTGCACTGTCAATGACAGGAAAATCTGCTTCAGGGGTGCAAGATTATCCCCTCCATCCTCATCACCTCTAATCTAGGAAGAGGAATTGTGGACTAGGAGACAAAGTGGCACATCAGGGTTGTACAAAGAACAAGTGGCAGAGTAGGGATTTGAACCTTGGCTGTGAGACTCCAGGATAAACTACCCCAGGCCCTGGAGTCTTCTGAAGAGCACAGAGAGGCCCTAAAGCAGACTCTGGTGTGGAGCTTGGTATAGTGTCACAAGGGAGATGATGGCTCACTGAGGCCAGAGAACCAGGAAGAATTGACTTAGGCAACAAAATGAAGGAGCTGAAAGACATTTGAGACAGAGTAGGCAGCACGTGCGATCTCCTTTGTGTGAAGATTGTGAATGTTCAGGCAGGGCTACCTTTTCCATCCTAGCTCCTGCACTTGTTGGCTGTGTGTCCCCGTACTCCAGTTTTCTGACCTTAGCTTCCACCCTTAAACCAGCAAGAAACCACGTCTGAAAGAAGTGGGCAGTTCTCACTCCCCTTCTCCCCATGACTGTCTAGGTGTCAGGAAAAATGATGTCTCAGCGTTGGAAGCTTCTTATCTTGTGCCACCTGCTCACTGGGACCTCAGAAGGTCTTCATTCCGGTGTCCTGAATAATTTTGTGGACAAGACGAACTCTTTTCTCCAGAACGGGCCTGAGACTGTTGACAATCCATCTACAGGTGAGTCAATGGGTGACAATCTGTGGGACCCTAGTGTTGCCTCCTAATCACTGTGCCTGCCATGCCAGGGACTGCCCCAGGGAACGCCCATTGTGGGTGGGTTACTAAGGAAGGACTATAGTTCAATCTCTGGATCCACATGCTGCTCTGGCCCCACCCCAGTGTTGGGGAGCCTGGAAGTGGGAGGATCACCACAAGTCGGGTTGTGTAGTAAGATCCTGCAACAACCAAATACATTTTAAAAAAAAGAACAAGACTTTCTTTTATCTACTTAAAAACTCTAACAGTACACTGACAATCAGTTTTTTAGGGGGGGGGGATCCATCTGGAAATGGTGGCCTTTGAGACTTTCCCAAGTTTTAAGCAGCTCATACAGATGTATGAAGAACACCCAGCCTCTTTCACAGATGGGAAAACTAAAGCCAAGAGAAAAAGTGTCAGGACCAAGATTACCTAGTGAGTTTTATAACTACAGGTAGTTTTCTTCTGGATGGTTAACAACCTAAGTTTACAGACCAAAATTAGAGAAAAAGGAGGGATACAAGGAAAGCCAACATTTTGGCCCTAGCCTTCTAAGGTCAATTAAGACTCAGGACATATGAGAACTTGTACTGTAACGCCATGTACCTCGGTAGTGTCCCAAATTTTCTGATCAAGAAGATTATGGGGCCAAAGAGGAAAGTGATCCATGACATAGAGTGGGCCTAAGGAGAGTCACATGGGGAGAAGATACTCTCTCAGGCTTTCACAGAGAGCACATTGGCCAAGCATTGGCCGTGACCCATCCACATGGCTGCACTGATAAAGGTTCTACAATCTGAGGTACAGGATCTCAGGATAAATCCTGAGGGCATTTCACTGACCTTCTCAGACCAAAAAGCTACAACTCTTGTTGCACAGGTCCTGCTTTACCTTGGTCTTAACCATCCAGCAGAAAAGTATGAAGACAAAATTATAAGAAATAAAGCCATGCTATTAAGTTGAGCTGTGGGGGACTCAGGTCAATAATTTCTGACATTGCCAGTTAAACAGAAGACCCAATGCTATTATGGGCTACTGGACTCTTTTAGAATATTTTGCTGAGTTTACACATCTATAATATTCAATAACGGAACTTAGAAAAAATGGGGTATACAGATGAATGTCCATTTTGTATCTGTGTATTCAAAGTGGTTGGGATAGATATATAGTTACATTCTGTTAATGAATAGAATGATTTGTTCTAATGGTGTTTGTAAATAGGATCACAAGTCCGCATCTTGTACAGCAATTAACCACTAAGAAGAATATATGCAGTGTATTATTTGTTGAAAAAAAATAACTACAGGTAGTTTTATCCCCATCTTTATTCCACTGACATTTTCCCCACCTTTAATCCGTATTCACACACCCTAGAGCTAGCCATCTCTGAAAAGCCCCACCTATGGGTACATGAAGTTTTGAGGGGAAGTCTAGATACCAACTATAACAGAGCCCTGTTTTTTTCTTGAGTGTAGATTTTCCTTTTTTTTCTTTTTCATCCATTTTTCCATTTTGTTTCACTAGTTTTTCAAACTCAAGTGAACATGTCTTCTAGAGCAATAGGCTACCACATTTCCCCTAGGTGCATACAATTTGAAATCAACTTGCTGGCCAAATGATTGACTGCTTTGTTCATAAGGATCAGCATGTACTGGTGTACAGGCAGCATGAAAGTACTGAGGATTCCCTAGCTCTGTGATCAAACATGTTTCTTAACTTCCTTGAGTTTTTATTTCCTCATCTGTAAAACAAAGGTAATTGTGACACCTACTCAATGAACCATTTCAGAGATAAAATGAAATAACATGGGCAAGTTTGGTACTGGCAGCATAGTAGCTGTCTCCTAAGTGTATAGGACACTAAAAGAGGATTGTATTGGCAGGGTTTTCTTGGCAATGGAATTCCAGCGTGAGGGCGCCTCTGAAATTCAGTGGTAAGAGGAAGATCGAGGAAAATGAAGTGGTGGATCTTGCAAGTCTGGAAAACCCCTTTAGGTGTGTTAATTCTTCCTGGTGATCTTTGCTCCAAACAAAGGGATGCTTAGAAAGAAAAGGGAGGTCAGTTTAAGATTAAAAAAAAAAAAAAAAAAAAAAAAAAACAAAACCAGATGGACCACTTTGTTCTCCTCTGCAGCCCCAAAGTGCTCTAAGGCCAGCCCCAACAAAATTGAAAAAAATTAGAGGCAGGGCTGCAGGGCAGTATGGGCATCTGTGGGCTTGGGCTCCTTACTTTGTAATTTTAGGGTGAAAGTGAAGGGTTTCTACATCCTTGCCTCCATGTTTGTGCTGGTATCTAAAGTTCCTTTCCAAAGAATGGACATATATTTTCCAAATACAGCAGGAGACATAAGACTAAATCCCCATTCAGGGAAGGGAAATTCATTCCACTCAGTCCTACACAGTGGCTTGCCCCACGGAGCTTTGGAGTCAGATCGGGGTTACAATATTCTCTGGTACTTACTGTTCCCCTTGGAAACTACCACATGCATCAGAGCCTCAATCTGCTGTGCCCTAAAATGCAGAGCACCACACTTCTGAGGAGGGTTGGGGTAGTGGTGGGGCACACGATGGCAAGTCAGTAGGGCCCAAATATGCAGTGTGACACTGGTATACAAAAGGACTTCACAGGTGGCTGCCTGGGGAATAACAAGGTACCATGGTGGGTTTTGAGCAGGGTGAAAATCAGCAAGACTGTCATCAGGGTCATCCAAGCTGAACGGACAGCAGATGGCAGAAGTATCAACCTGAGATTTCTGGTCACAGCTAATGTCACCGCAGCCCTGTGAGTATGTGTGGTCAGGCTTGGGAGAGGTGGTGTAGCCTGGCTGGTGAGTGCCAGCCTGGTAACCATCACCTTCCTAAGGGGCTGTGTGGCTTTGGGCCTCCAATTCCCAATTTTTAAACAAAGGAAATTGTCTAGGTCTTAAAATCTCGATTTTTAAAAATTCTGGTTATCTTTGGTGGCAGCGTAATCTCTTCTAAAGAATGTTGTATATATAAATTTGCTTTTTAAAAAATGTATTTAGTACAGGAACTACAGGGTCTTACTACACAGATCAAACTCGTAGTGATCCTCCTGTTTTCAGTCTCCCAAGCTTTGAGATCACAGTTGAGCGCCACCACTCCCAGTCTCAGTCAAATGTCTCAGTGTGCCCCAGGGGCAAGGCTGGCACAGCACACTGGGGATTGAATCCTGGTCCCTGTGCCTGCCTAGGCAGGTGTTTTAGTCTGCTGAGCTGTCTGGCTGGCCCAAATGCTGTATGTAATATTTTTGAAATGATGACATTTATCTAATTCTTAATTTATTTTATTGTACAGTTAAGATGACATAAATACTTATAGTTCTTTGGCAAAATTTCTTCCAGTGTTATTTTGTCTTTCAAGATTCTAAATACCAGTAATCATTACAGATTCATGTAATAATGTGCATAATATAATACAGAGCACATATATGAATATAACATTAAAGTATTTTAAACTTAGAAGAGCCAAGCAAGAAAGTGGCAGGAGAAAGCATGTGTAAAGGAGTTTCTCTAGGCTGGGGTTGTAGCTCATGCTAGGCAGTGCTTGCCTAACATTTGTGGGCACCCGGTTCCATCCCAGAACCACACAAATGAGAATATGAAGTTCTAGAAATTAAATGTATTACTCTGAAGTCTTAGATAAATTACTTGACCTTTCTGTGCTCATGTCTTCAAATTTCAAAAGTAGAGCATGATTCCTCTCATAGCATTGTTGTAATGATTAAGTGGACTAAGCTAGGCAAAGTGCTTTCTGAATGCACTTTAAAACGTCTAGGAGGGCCAGAGATATAGCTCACTGACACAGTGCCTGCCTGGCAGGGGCAAGGTCCTGAGTTCAATTCTTAGTATCTCCCCCATCCCAAGAAAGAAAAATACCTAGAAACAGTTATTGGTGTCATATTGAATGTAGCTTTTTTATTAATTGATCCCAAGTGGCTCAAAGAAGAAACTGTAGTAGAAACATGTGGACCATGTTATCATTCCCCGGGCAATGCTGATGTTTCCAATGAACATCTTACAAAATGTCTACACAGGTGCGGACTGTGTATGCAGCTCTTGCCTTCTGTTCACTGTGAACCCTATTTCCTATAGGCCCCTCATCTGCAGGAGGGCCAACCTAGAGGTCTCTCTGTACCTCCTGACCAGAATCAGACTTGTACCAGTACCTCAGAGCAGTCTCTTCACTGTGGCCGTGGGAGAATTCACTGTGGACCCAGATACCATCACAATCTCCTTGCTGGACAGGTGAGGTCCACCTACCTCTGCGGAGCTGGAGTCTTAGAACACAATAATGATCCTACTCACAGGCTTCTGAAGCAAGGAACAGAAATATACAAATATCCGGCATAGAGCCTGGGATACAGTAAGCTCTCAGCAATTCTAGAATCCATGCTGAGCCCATCAACCGGGCATCTCCATCACGGACGCAGGATGTCGGCTTTTTCCAGCTGTTCTTATGAACTTGCCTGTTTTGCCTTTCAGCTGGGTCAATGTTTGCTGAATCTCTTGAAACACTGAGGTTTGGTGCATGCATGTTGAGGATTATTATGCCCTGTAGGAGAATTGACCACTCTGCCATTATGTAATGTTGCTCAGTAATAATTTTAAGTTTGTATTTACCCTCTTCCCTGCAGTTTGGAGGAGTGGGAAGATCACTGCCTATCATGGGCTCTGATTCTAGGTTTCTCCAAATCATTATTCATCCACTGGAAAATTCTTGAGATGAATTTATCTTTTATCATCTTCTGGTTCTGTAAAATGTACGCTTTAGTAATGTGTTTTTAAAAGGTAGTTGGGTATGGATAGGAAATTAAAGAAAGAAAAGATAACCACGGTCTGAAGCTGGGAAAAGAAGCTACTCTGGAAGCTGAGGGCTGGTTTTGGGCATCTCTGACTAGGAACAAAGTTGGGGCCTTGGTTCTTAAACCTAATGACCATGACCTGAGTTCACTCCACACTCCCCTTATAAAGGAATCTGATCCCAGGTTTCCTGAAGATCCCTTAAATCAAGAAACACTCCATGGTTGTATGTTAGCATAGAGGCCTGGATGTGAAGCCAGAGCCTTGCACCCTGCTAGACACTGCCGTGCCTGGCAGCCCCAGGGAACTGCACTCGCTCTTCTGGGTCGATGTCCACCTCTGTCAAATGAAGCACAGCTGCTACTCCAAATCCTCTCCAGGCTCTTCTCTGTACTTTGAAACAATCCCCTAACCCTGTAGACTGTCCTTCATCTGAACCCACCCTCACTTTTCTTTCCTATCACAGGACCTTTGCACAGATCACTCTGGCTTCCTATCACACCTATCTTCCCATTTCAGTGTACCTCCTCATGCTTAGAAAGACTCCTGCTGTTAGGATCTTGGTGAGGGTCCTGCTGTTCACTCATAAGGCTTCATGCTGAAGCACTGAGTGGTGAGGATAGATGAGAGCTCATCCCTGTAGAGCTCATTCTGAGAGATAGGCAGCCAGAGAAATGATTGGTCCATCCACGGAGGACTCTCAAGGACAGAGCCCAGTCCTGCGCAGTCTGTGACATGAACAGGGCACTATGATGGCCAAATCCTCCCTGAGACAAGCTGTTAGAGCCACGTCATGGGAGGTGATAGTGATGCTGAAGGCAGGGGTGGGAGGAGACAGTGCTGGCAGATTTGTCTGAGTGGCCTGGTTTAAAGCTGCTTGTCCTTTGCTCATGTTGTTGTCCTGAAGGCCCAGCTGGGAGCCTGGAATGCAGCTGGTGCTCTGAAAATGTGATTTGAATGAATGAGTGATTGGATGGATGAATGAATGAAGTTCAGGTTTGTGAATGGCACTGGTTGAGCCACTTGCCAAGTGTGAGATGCTAAGTAATAGTCCATATTGATGCAGCTCTGAAGTGAGCAAGATCAGTCAGGACTACGTAACTACATCCAAGTCCTGCCCTTGGCTGCCTGACCACTTGCCAGCCCTTCATTCCTTCTCTCTTTCTTCCAGAACTAATGCCATGCTCAAGAGGTCCATGGGCTCTATGATTCGTGTTTTGAAGAAGAGCATTTTTGTCTTGTTGCAGAAACAAGTGAGTCCCCCATGCCCTGGGGCACAGAGCAAGGCCTGCTGGGTGATTGGGTGGCCTTTACAGCCCTGTCCATATTCTTTGGACTTTTCCTAAGGAAGTACCACTTTCTCTTTGGGACATCCAGAGGAGCCCTCTTATCTATAACTCAGTCTGGAGGGTGAGGAAGGGTTGACAGTAATGGCCATCTGAAGCCCTTCGCTATGTCCACTCACTGCCACTATGCATATCTAAACCACATTGCTCTGGGTTGTAGTGCATGGGGCCTGAAGAGAGGCAAAAGCAAGACTAAGCTTCACCTCTTTTCCTAGCAGCAGACTGAGCCCTTATCTCAGTCACGGCATCTTTAAAGCACCAGATTCCTCAAGTTCAAGGGTTCCAAGACCCTGGAGATATGAGCACTCCAGATTCTTGATGTTGATGTTCTAAGGCTTGGGTGATGGACCCCAGGGCTCTCAGATTTCAGCCTGGCAGGGTTCCATCCTGCTAGAATCCTAAGATGCAAAGGTTTCAGATCCCTAGAACTGAGTCTCTCTGTGAGTAGCACAGAATGTGTCCCTAGCTAAGAGCCATCTGTCTTTAGCCTCCTGCCCCCTTCTTTGTCTTCTCTCCAGAATCAGATACATGCCAGGATCAAAAGGTTTTTGGATGGTCTGCAAAAGAGCTCTCTTGAGGGGATCCATGGTAAGTCACAGGGCAGGAAGTGGGGTGCTTTCCAACGGCAACCTGCAGCTCTGTCCTACCATGCAATTCTGCATAGGGGACATAGAAGAGTAGAAGGAACAACCTTCCTGAGCAAGGTGGGGGCAGCAGCTTCTCTTCTTACACCTCAAGACTGTCTGTAGCTTTCAGATCACCAGGCATGGGTGACCCCTAGGTTGAGTGAAATGGGGCAGTGCAGAAGCCAAGGCCCTGGAGGTGGCTCCTCTATGAAAAGTCATGAATCCAGACTCTTGGATCATCACTCTATGCCCTGAGAGCACTGTCTCACTGGATACAACAAACAGCCCAGTCCTATGGAGTGGGTACTGTCCTCTTACTCATTTTACAAGTGAACAAAGTGAGGCTTAGAGAGGTGGTGCAACATGTCTGAGAATGCACAGCAGCCAGACTGGCCCACTGGAGGGTGGTGGTTATGGAGGTGTAATCTTTCTTTAGTTTTCCAGTGGTAGAGACTGAGGCCTGCTCTTGGTTCTGTTCTTTCAGCCCAACTTCAACACACAGCTGACCTGTATCTTTCCATCTGAAGAGGATGAATGAGGAGAACCACTGTGATGCTACCTGTTGGTAAGGGGCCAGCTCTATGCTCAGTGCAGGGGCCCTGCGGAGAGGGAAGAGGGAGCTGGGCTTTACCTCTTTCTCCAGCAGCAGCAGACTGAGCCCATGTTTTGACCCCAGCTGAGCCCTGATTCTGGTTCTACTTTACTCTGAACTCCTTGCCATGCTCACACACTGAGTCTGAGCTCTGATTCTAATGCCAGGCTGAGAGCACAGATCTGAGTGATAGTTTAAAGCCAGTTATTAGCTGAGTCTCAGTTGTGGTCACACAGTGACCATAACTTAGGCTGCCCCCTAGTCCTGCCTAGGTACTATCGTCTGACCCTGGAGCCAGCCATGGCTTTACTCAATCTTTTCCCATGGTCCATTTTTTCCTAGAAGGGGAGAATAAAGGTGATGGGTCAGTGCCAGCTGCCAGAGAAAGACCCCAAACCCTAGGTGTCACTCCCCTCCCAAGGCTTTAGATCACACAGAGTAAAGTGGGAAAGAGCCAAGACTATGGGTCCAGGCCAGTATGGGTCCAATCACATATCCAGTGACTGGCATCTCCTATGGCTTCCTTGAGTGCAAATGTCCTTCCCCCAACATCTCATTGCAGGTGGGTCTCCAGGGCCTTGCCTTGCCACCTCACTGAATCTCTGTCTGGGAAGGTGGGGCGCCACCCAGCAGACTGACTATCTGAGCTGGCCAGAAGTACTTCCATCTCCTCCTGTGGGACAGCGGTGTCTGTACTTTTACCTCCTTCTGACAATAAAAGCCCATTTCTGCATCCTCTGTGTGGTTTGCTGCTGTTCCACTATTGGGGATAGTTGGTTACAATCAGGGTGTGGGATGGCAGAGACCTGGATCTTGAGATGTAAGGGACAATGAGAAATATCCAGGCCTAACTCCTTGGTTTTCAAATGGAAATAGAGAAAAAAAAGGGAAAAGAAAAGAAATGGAACTCACCATCTTTTGGGGGAAGTGACAGAATCCTGGATCCATTTAGTCTCATGTCCAGCAGTTTAGTGAGGTATGCTCTTTGGAGGCAGCAATGAGAACCTGACAGTTACATCTCTGGGGTGACCCACACCAGTGCTTCCCTCCAATCCTCCTCAGGGACCCTGAAGCCCTGTAGAAAATCAGGGGTTGCTTACTGTGACAGAAGGCAGGAGCATAGGGCACAGAGACTGTGGATCGAGTCCCTATCTCTTTTTGCCCCTCCCTTAAGTCTGAAGGATGTGTGTTACCCTGGAGCTGGTACTCCTCCAGACAATGCTGAGGCACTCATGATCCCACTCCCAGAGGTTCCTATCTCTCCCATTGCCAGCTCTGAGTACCTGGACACCTGTCTGCGAGGCTCAAAGGAGGCCTTACCTTGCTAGTGAGCTCAGGGACCCAGGGAACACCACCTGCCCCATCGACACCAGATCTGTCTTCCACCCAAGGACCTCCATCCACAGCCCAGAACTCAACTCCTTTCAGGCTGTGCTTGGTGGTTCACAGACTGCGCCACTCTGCTGAACGCATCAGCACCACTACTGAGTGCTGTCTTGGGACCACACAGGAGTGTGCTCCATCCTCACCACTTGTTTTCCAAGTGCAGAAACTGAAAGTTACAGAGGTGCAATGGCTCATCCGGGAAGAGCAGAGAACAAATGTCAGGACAGGATTTTAACTTGTGTTTGTAAGAATGCTGGGTATATAAACCTGGCTCAGGTGTGGTGTCACAGCTCTCATTAGCTCCTGGTGCCTTTACACAAAGGGCCCCAGGTCACTGGCCTACTCTCTTTGCTTAGGCCAGATGAGGTCTCTTCCATGTTGTTCTCCCCTAGAACCTATGCTGGCTTCAGTTTCTTCTGTGTACTGCAGGAAGGAAAACCTCACCTATTTACACAGCCAAGACAGTTTCTGTGAATTGCAACTTGGGCTACCTGCCAACAGGAGGTAGCTTCAGAACTCAGCGTCCTGACCTCTTGGGAGGGCATCTGACCCGAGGACCTGAGCACATGTGTCACCCAGCCATCTGCTTCTCTACAAACTCAGGGAGGGAACCACTTTCAGTCCTACAAAGCTTGGGTTCCTGGAGTCCAGGCCACACTGAGGCTGCTCCAGGAAGAAAATCCTTCTAGGGATTCCAGTCTCTGACAGGGCCACATCTTGAGTTTGGTCACCTCGGGGATCCCTGAAATGCTGGGATAGTTGAGAGTTACTTGGATGCGTAGCCCAGTGCCCTCTTAAGCCTCCTGCCACTGCCTCTGCTCAGTACCTCTCCACTGTGCTCTGCCTGTCACAGGAGAAGGCCAGGAAGTCAGCAGGTCTGTGCATGAGTCACCTGCCACTTGGTAGCACTGTGACCCTGTGCAAGGGACAAGCCCCGACTTCAATTTTCTTACCTTCCCAGTGGAATTTGCTGGGCTTGACGAAGAATAAGTGTGCCACTGAACAGGAAGTGGTCAGCCCAACATGCCCAGGGAGTCCTTTTGAAGGACTCCCTGCAGAGAACTTGCCGTGATGAGATCTGCCCTGCTTTTGTTGATTGACATAAGGACTGATAGGAGAGAGAATCATAGTCCAGGGAGATCTTGGGGTCCTCCCTTGTCTCTGGGGGTAAGACTACTAGCTGTCCCTCCTTTGCATTCATCCCCACTCTCAAAATTAGCTGGGCATGTGGCATCCTAGCCACCAGTGTCACCAGTTGGACTCCTTTGCAGTTAACTGTGACCACAGGACTCTGGTCTGGCCAGAGGTGTACAGGTAGCCATCAGGCGCATGCTCCACTTTGTGCTAAAAACAGGAGATTCCCTCTCCTTCCTCCACACCTTCCACTGCTTTCCACTCAGATCTGGAAGCCACAGAAGCCACTGTCCTGCATCCCAAGTGGGAGCCATGCTTTTAGGAGGGCTCTTTTACAATGACATGCTCTGTTGTACTAGCTGCTGACTTTCCCTCTCTGAGCCCCATGTTCCAATCTGCCTGGTGATACCTGAGGGCCCTTTCTAATCCAATGGAATACAATTGCAATTCTTTCCAGAGTTTAAAGATCTGGGAATAACATTTACTCAGTTCCCACAATGTCAAAATTACACAGCCTTGGGTGGCATTTGTCATCTATGAAACATTTGGCAGTATCTAAAGATATCTTCAGGGCTGGCCAAATAGCTCAGCAGATTAAAGTACCTGCCAGCAGGCACAGGGGCCAGGGGTTCTATCTCTGGGCCTACCCTGCCATACTGTGGTGTCACACACCTGTAATCCCAGCACTTGGGAGGCTGTAAACAGAAGAATCACTACCAGTCTGATCTAGTAATGAGAACCTAAACACCCTGTAGACCCTTCCCTAGAAAATAAAGAAAATAAATAAATAAATCATCAACTTATATGCATTGAGCAAAGGCACATGTGCTGTGGCTATGTGGTTGGCAGAGGCCAGGAATGTTGCTCACCACCCCACAATACACAGGGTAGGCCCCCCTGCAAGAGCCATGCAGTCTCAATGTCACTATTATAGTAGTGACACTCTGCATTGGGCTTTTATGAACCAACTTCCTTGGGCTCTGACATAATGTGCAGCTCTGTAGGGAGCTGTGGAGACTTTGGAAGGTAAAGTCTGAGTTCCAGCTGTCCCAGCCCCCAGGGTGCCTGTTTTTGTCTCTCAGTGGGTGGTTAAATCTCCCTCAGCCTCAAGAGCTACACAAGTGCCAGCTCCCAGCTAAGTGGTGACTGCTCCTTAATTATCTCAAATAACACTATGTGCCCCAAAAGTTCATGTGTTGGAAAGTTAATCTTGAGTATGTGAATGGTATTTGGAAGGAGACATAGGGGGTAATTACCTTCCCATAAGGTCATGAGGATGGCCCATGCTGGCAGTAGAGGCTTCATAAAAGGGGAAAGAACAGAGGTGGCACACAGTTCTGTCTCAGCACAGGACACCTTTACCATGCCCTGATGCAGTACCCAGGCCTTCTCCCATTCAGAGTGGTGGTCTTGATCTTTCCAGACTCCTCAAAGGTGAGCCTGGCCTTCTTCTATACTGGATCTATGGCCTGGTCTTGGGCATGTTGTTGCAGCAACAGAAATGGACTGAGACAGAGAACTACCAGTCACTTTGTCCTTACTGCCCAATGCATGGAGACTCTCACTAGGGTTATCTCTTGGGATGCAACTTTCCCCTCCTTGATACTTCACTCTGTTTCACCCGTCTGTGGGTTCTGGGGTCCAAGACTTAACTCCTCAGCAGCCCCGTTGGGGAAAGAACAGGTGACGGACAGGATGAAGCTCCTGCTGCAGGCATGGATGGATAGTGAATGAGCGCCTTTTTTCTGTGCATAGTTAGACACTATCTCTAGCGCTGTCATCTCTGGTTAGACATCATCTCTCAGCTCAATGAATGGAGAGAAAATCTGACAAGTTATAATATAGTACACCTGCCAATATTTTCTGTTAATCAGGGCCCAATAGCTGCACTTGAGGATGTAAACGGTGGGTTGTGAGCCACACACAGCCCTAAAGTATGGGGAGTCAGATATGATCTGACTTGGCCTCAGGGTGGGGCCAAGGATACCTTGCCTCGTGGTGACTGTTGTGGTCAAAGTGGGGGGAAAAGACAGGAAGCAGAAGAGAGCAAGGGCACTGATCTGTGCCTGGTACTCCAAAACTAGCTTGGGTTCTTTGACCCTATTTTGAATTCTGGGCTACAGTCCAGAGCTCAAAGTAAGGACATGTGCTACCTGGAGAAGGTGACATCATATGAAGGAGGACTGGGAGGAGATAGATTTACAGCCAGTGTAATGGGTCAACTCACATTTTAGACTATAAATGTAAATCTTGTGTTTTCTATTGTGTAAAAATGTATACTCACCACTGTTCTAAGTTGTTTAGTAACCAGTGGCTGTTTCTTGCTGTTTGCTAGATAAAATTCCTACCTCACCAATTCCTGTAAACAAACTTAGATTACAGAGATGACTTCAAAAGGAAATTAAATGGGCTTTAACTTCTTGTAACCTCAGGCTATGCAAGGCTGAATGCAACTACTCAGGTGCAAGATAACCAAAAACTAAAAGAAAGCCCCAGGAAATTTAGTTTGAGTAGTGGTCACAATGACCCTGAAAGCATTATGTGTGTCAGACAATGAATTTGTTTGCCAAATGGAATGTGGTTCCAGGTTTTAAAGCCTCCCCTATTTCCTGGGTTAGCCACCTTTTGGACCTCTCCTGTGTGAGAGCTGATGGGGGCCCTGAGCTCAGTAATAAATGACTTTCTAAATTCCAATCTGGCTGGTCTGGTTCCTATTCTGAGTGACCCATAACACCAGAAAACTGATCAGTGGACTAATTTAATAATCACATACCCTTAATCCTATGCCGTAGGTCCAACCACCTCTGAAAAGCCCCACCTATTATGCATAAGGTCTTGAGGAGACATAAGCCATAAGACATCCTTTCATAATAAACTCACTGAAGAAAATAGGTGTAGGAGAACCTTACCTCACTCAGATGAAAGCCATTTATGACAAACCTACTTCCAATGCTATATTAAAGATAGAAAAAACTGAAAGCTGTCCTCTAAAATCAGGAACAAGACAAGGATGTCCACTATCACCACCCTTGTTCAACATAGTACTTGAAACATTAGCACAAATTGTTATGTAATAAAAAGAAATAAGAAGGGATATGTAT